AAAACAACAGTGATTTCGGATCGATAATCGGCGGGTGTATGGGCACCTTTACACTGACGCCGATGTTTTATCAAACAGGACATCCCCGGCATCCCTTCAGACGTACATGTGCCTGCCTGGCCCTGGATGATCTGTACATGCCTCAGTGCGGGCTCTGCAGGAGGCAGGGTGTATTTTCAGTGACCAGGATCAGAAGGCTGCACGGAGACTGATCCTGGTCACTGGAAATGTGTCTGCGTTCCGGGTGAGGGCGATCGCACTGCGGGCACGGGGCGTGGCTGTAGTGCCACGCCCCCCTCCCACTCCTGAATGCAGGGAGGCTTGTGTTCCAGTGCATTCCAGAGGCCGAACGCTCCGGAACGCAGCCTTTGTGGTGTGAACTGGCCCTTAGGAATGCAATGGACTCAGGACTTAGGAACACACAAGGCAGGTAGCCGGACGGCTTTTGTTCCAGTGCATTCCAAAGGCCTAACGCTCTGGAACGCGGGCTTTGTGGTGTGAACTGGCCCTAAGCCTAGAGTCCAGTGCGTACCTATGTCCAGAGTCAATTGTGTTCCTAAGTCCAGAGTCTTGTGCGCTCCTAAGTCCAGAGTCCAGTACACTCCTAAATCCAGAGTCCAGTGCGCTCCTAAGTCCAGAGTCCAGTGCGTTCTTATGTCCAGAGTCCAGTGTGTTCATATGTCCAGAGTTCAGTGCGTTTCAGAGTCCAGAGTCTGTACTGGAGGGCAGGCTCACCAAGAGAACCTGTCACATCCGAATGCCATCACACAGGGGCTTGTTATCCCATGTGTGAAAGCAATAAAGTTAAGTGGGAAAAAAGTAAAAAATAATAAAAGAAATTAAAATGAAAAAAAAGATACAAAGTTAAAAAAGCCCACCTGAGACCCCCCGCAGCCTACCTGGGACTCCCCACAGCAATCCTGAGACTCTACACAGCCATCCTGAGACTCTACACAGCCCACCTGAGACTCTAGACAGCCATCCTGAGACTCTGCACAGGCCACCTGAGACCCCATACAGCATTCCTGAGACTCCGCACAGCCATCCTGAGACTCTACACAGCCCTCCTGAGACCCTGGAGACATCAGGCCACCACCCTGGAGCAACACAGAGTATGTAGCTTTATATTATTCTGCATTGCTACATAATGTTTTGCTGGAATTTGTAGTCCTCTATAGCTGGTTGGTATTCTGCATTGCTGTATAATTTATTACTATGTGGTGGGCCTCCATGGTGGATCAGTGGCTTTAGACCCGCCTCTGTGCTTCTTTTGGTGCGGCAGCACCCCTCCCGATCCACCATGGAGTGTAGGCTTTAAAAGTGGTTCTAAACCCTCCCGTTTTTTGCCTATATCTACTGCTATCAAGCAAACAGTTAAAAAAAACCCGCTAAAACAGCGGTTTAAACTTACCTTTTTTTTTTTGCACGCTCCCGCCCGAGAAAACAAAACTGTTCGGGCGGCCGCAACGCATCTTGCGCATTTCGGATTCTCGGCCGGGAGACCAGCAGAGACGCAAGGTAAGTGTATGGACGCGTGCACCCGCATGCAGACACCGCTGGATCGGAGAGACAGAGCAGTCAGCGCTGGATCGGAGAGCCGCCGCACCATCAGAATAAGAGACATCATTTAAGGTAAGTGCTAACATTAACATGGGGGGGAGGGAAAACAAATTTGACTTTAATGTCACATTAAATCACTCAAGTCTCTCCTCCATGACAGATTAGAAGGGGTACGGCCGGGAAAATAGAAGCAAGCCCAGAAGTGGCTCCTAAATTAACAAAGCAGCACTGGAGTATGAGGCGCTAATGAAAGACTTGCCCTGAGCACCTCATGACCTTGCTACGCCTCTGTGTTGTGGTCCCATAATTGCATAAAGCATATCTAAGTTACCCAGGCCAGTAGAGTGTATAATAATGATATGTAATGACTGCATGGACCCTCACAATCACAATCCGTGTCCAGGTGTGAACTTTCTTCTTCAATATGTTTTATTAGTTTTACAAAGTGTAAGACATATAAACATTGTCCAATAACAGATGTATAAGGGAGCAATGTGTTGCCTAAGCATCAGGCGCCATATAACAATAAACTTAACAGTTAAGGGAGGGATCAGGTGGGGGTGGGGAGTAAGGTTGGCTGCCGCTGATACTCTTAGTAGCATGTGGTTATGCGATTGTTTTGGAAAGAGAAATTTTAGCTATTGGAGGAGAGGCCTGTGTGGCGGGTCTGTAGAGGCCTGAGTGCAGCTTGATTCGTGTCAGGACTAACTTGCTGGGGGGGTGAGGGAAAGGAAGGAGAGGAGGAGAATAAAGGCAGTGGGAGGTAAAGAGGAGAAGGGAAGAGTAGAAGATGTAAGGGGTGGTGACTACCGCCCGAGTGCTATGGCGCAATGGGTGCCTATCGAATGACGTTTCGTGTTGCTGGGTCAAGAGTGGATAGGAAGATGGCAGACCATGGGTCCCATATGGTATGGAATTTCCGGCTGGTGTCCATTAGTATCCTAAAGAGATGCTCGTTAACAAAAAATCCTTGTACTCGTTGTTGAAATTCAGAATAAGGAATGGCCTGTTTTTTCCATGAGTGAGCTATAGTTTGCTTAGCTGCTAAGAATATGTAGTTAGCCAGTTGCCATTGGGGCTGTGTAAGTTGTGGGATTTGAACATAGAGTAAGGCCTGCCAGGGATCTTTTGGTATGAATATGTTGAAGATGGAATGGAGGAGTCTGTAAATTTTAGTCCAGAACCGGGCCACGAAGGGGCATGTCCACCAGATATGCATAACATTGCCCACGGCCTGGCATCCTCTGAAGCAGGTGTTAGAGCAGGTCGGGTGGAGGTGACAGAGGCGGGAGGGCACAGGGTACCACATAGAAAGCATCTTATAGGCAGCTTCCTGGGTGGAGATGTTGCGAGAGCACCTGGAGACCGCGTCCCAAATCGTCCTTTAATGTGTTTGGATATATGTAATGTGTGTAATGCAATTGTCATATAATGTATACAGGTGGATCAAAATGTACGTTATGTGTGTGTAGGTGTAATGTGTGTTTGCAGGGGGAGTTGCTCGTGTAATGATTTTGTTTTTACTTTGGTTGCAATTTATATACTGAACATGAGAATTGTCAAACCTAGTAACATTAGCTCTGACAGGTCATCTTTGGGAAAATATCTAATAGACCCCTGATGTTTTCATGTAGAGGTGAAAGAAGAGGACTGTCAGGGTTTCTTAGCCTTCCTTGTCCAGTTGAGCTACAGCCTGTCTTCTGTTGCAGTGTGTCTGGCACTGTTCGTTCCTCTTTGGTGCCCTCTTATGACCAAACCCATAAACATCATAATTCTGCAACTACCGACAAACTTCTGGCAACTCCCTGTCTCAGAGTGATGATACAACACCAGTTCACTATTTAACTATGAGCTTGTCCAATTAGTCTTCGCCCTTGCGTGTGTTCAGATCTACCAAGTGCTCTGCTGTTGTTCTTGTTCTCTGTGTATGATTCTGACTCTAGCTGACTGATCTCCTGGTACCTGACTCTAACCATTGTTTCTGTTCAACCTGCTCTCAGTGTTCCCTGACCTGGTTTGACTGACTACCCGCTTTGGAATCTGTCCTCTGGCTTGACACAGACGACGACCTGGTCTTTCTCCATTGTTTTTTGACATTTTTGCTGATTTTTATTTTCAATAAACTCCTTTAATTTTTTAAACTAACCTTTAAGTTTTTGTCTGATATCTTGGTTCCGTGATAAGCACACAAAGTTCTAGGACATCTACTCTGCTGCTACTCTAAAATGCATTGAACGCAAAAATGCTCACTATTGAGCATTTTCACGTTAATTTCCAAAAACTGTTTACTAATCTCGCCACTAAGCAGCCTAAACAAAAGCCTGTCTCATTACCGGTAGCAGCAGCGGTTAGCTACAGGCAATGTGGATGGGCTACAAACACTGGCAACTGTCACTTAACTTAAGAATGAACCAGGTAGGGAATTTGTGTGTACATCCCCTCAGGCTCTGTCCACTCTGCCACGTCAGGACTGCAACCCACTTCACTTAATACAAGAGGGGACCTGATAGGGAATATTGTAAATACCTCCCCTTTCTCCACAACCTCCGGGCAGCAAAAAACTAATGGGCAAACCTGTTGGGAAACTACAGGGCCATGAGAAGGACAGAAGGGGCTGCACAGTAGGGGGCACACTGGTTACAATGTAATGTAACCGGCAGAGTAGCACAGGGAGGAGAACAAGTAGGGACATTTGCTGCAGCTTTGTGGATGTGATCAACAGACATTCGGCTGACAGATCACATTCAAAGAGCCTGGAGGCAAAAAAGCAGGAGCCGCCATGTTCACATGCGTTGTGGATGTGATGAGCGGCTTGTTAGTAACCATGAGCTTACAGCCTTATAAAATGCAGTGGAGGGTTACTGTGTTAGCCAGCTTACATCCCTGGCAGTTAAAGGGATACCGAGTATAGTTTTATTGATTGGTGTCAAAACACAAAATTTATTTAAATGAGATCCAATGTTCTATGGCAATAAACATAAAAACATTCAAGAGGGTGAATACTTTTTATAGGGGCTGTATTTATATAAATATGACATTGTTTAATAATTGGTTTATGCATCATGGTTATACCTGAGCCCATGCTCAGAGAATTCCTTAAGATCATCATCACTCACTGCTCACCTACCTGTACTGGATATCTCTGGCCTCTTTGCATGAGACAAAGTGCTGTTTGGGAAGAGGGTATGAGCAGGGAGGGGGCAGAGAGAGGGAGTCGTTCTGAATGGAAAAAAAAAATCACAAAATGACACAAAATAAAAAACAAAATACAAATAAAACAAAACAAAACACGAACACATAAAATACCAGTAAGACAAGGTAACAAAAAGGTGACTGAGCTTTGTCTGGTTACTGTGCAGTTAAGAGCAGAATTACATAAAAGTACACACACTATTGTTAGTCCCAGTTCTACCTGGTGAGTAGAGTCGCTTAACACTTACCTCTTGCAGCTGCATCTGCACCTTGTTAAATGCTCTCAGCCAGTTTGACTTGGCCCTTGACATTCCCGTGGTCTCATCCCTACAAATATGTGAGGACACAAGGAATGTAATAATACCGGAGAAGATGTTTGATGTAAACTGTAATGTAATTAGGGCAATAGCATTTTTTAAAGAAATTACTTCAGTGATAGATTCCATGCGCACACTATGCTGTTTTTAAAAAAACTTTAAATTTTTTTGTTTGATGGACATTGGGCTATAGACAACATTACAAACATCTGTGCTGTTTGATAGAGCAATACAAAAGTTCAGTAGAAAAGCATGTGCAAATTTATGTAGTTTATATTTTGTTGTGAGCTAATATTTTCATATTTTCTTTTAAAAGGAATATGTCAGAAAGCTATATACCTGTCTCAGAATCAGGCATTATTTGACTCACGGGTCACATATTAGTTATAGGTCTGTGAAGATGAGGCTATTTACATTCACTGCAAATTATGTCACTGATCCAGAGTTAGTACACAGTCTGTGAATGAGAGAATGATCGCTTCCATCAGAGACTTCTGAGACAGGCAATTAGGTTTGTGACAGATTCCTTTTGAGTCTTCACACTTCAACCCAAACTAGTTGTACTGTGAAGATATTTAAAAAAACTGTAGGATAGAAATATGGTACATGTTCTCGGCTCTCATCCCTATGCATCCTTTATTACCTGGTGAGTCACCAACCCAGATCAAGCATGTGCAAATCAGGCATTGGTACGTCTGATAAGCATACACTTGTTCCTGGATGGTGGCTCACCAAGAAATACAGAAGGAATAATGACAGACCAAGGCCTTCTTAGGGATGTAAATTAGATCCATGAGCACCAACCCTAAGACAGCAAGCATTTGTGTGTAGCCAAATAGTCTAAATTCTATTGGTGGAAGCAATGAAATACAAATAAGTTTTGTTTTGTATGTTCATAAAAGTATATTCATTTTTACTCATATTATTTGTTATCTTTAGTGTGCAGAACTCATCCCAGACAGTTTTTTTCCTTCTCACCTGTCCAGTAAAGGCCCTAGCGGGACTACCGGTGCTGCCTCACTCTCTGGTGTAGCCTCTGGGGTCTTCTCTTTTTGAATTGGAATTTCTGGGGGTGTTTTCTCCTTACTCTCTCCAGATACGTACAATGTGTCCTCAAGCTCATATCCTAATTTTTCACCTTCATCTTCTCTTGGAACCTCATCATCATAAAGATCTCTGTCAGAAAGCTGCTCCCTGCTGTCAGGGTAGCCACCTTCATCATCATCTTCTTCACTGTACCCTTCAGGGCCCTCATCTCCTTCCCAGTTTGGAGAATCCTTTTGGTAGCTGACAGAACTATGGCAGGAGTGATAAGAGTCTCTGTCCCGCTCTTCCTCTATTTCAGAACCCTGAAGGCTGTCATTTTCGGGGTCAAAATCATCACTTAGTTGTGTAGAATCTCGGCTAAGTTCCCCAGAGGAGGCATATCGACTGCTTCCAGTAGGACTAGAGAGATTAAAACATGGAGCAGAAGATCGAAAGCAGAAAAGTAAAATAATTAAAGTACATCTCCCATCTGTCTTAGTTACACTCAGACGCACAGCAAATATCAAACTGACCAAAAATACATAGGTTTTTTTCTGGTATTTAGTCAATTCAAAATTCCAATAAAATTCAATGACAATACATAATTACATAGAGATATTTATCAGTGTACTGTTTTGTGTAACTAAAAAAAAAGCTCCACCTGTGTTGGTAAAATGCAATGTTGTTGGGATCAAAAATAACTTAATACGACACTCCGTCATAATCTAAGGAAAAATATACGTGTCCCACCATACAGTTCAGCAGAATACCCTTTAAATTATAAACCAGCAAAATATTTTAAGAGCTGATAAATACCAATAAATATAGAGTATTGATCTGCAATTATTCCCTGCATGTTTAAATGTAATTACTGTTGAATGGCTTACTAACTATGCTTTAGAGCTATCCCAGGCATTTATTTAAAGGTTTGCCTTCTTTCCTTGAGACTGTATACTTTAAGTTCCTGTTGCCTCTCTTGATATGTTTTATCCATCAGGCCTTGTAACATTTTCATTGCCCCTCTCTGGACTTGTTCATACAAGCAAGAATAAACTGTTATAGGAAAGGATTTTCTGGTAAATACCCTTTCTCTTTCAGAATTCATTGGTGGATACAGCAGACCACTGGAATATCCATAAGCAGTCCCAAGCAAAAAGCTGGAAAAAAACTTTCACACTTTACAGGCAAATGGCAGCACTGTAAAGTTCTACACTTTGCACAACTTGCGCAACCTTCCAACCAAAGGAGATCTTGGCTGAGAATGCAACATCCACATGAAGATCTAATGTGAACTGAGGATCAGGTGCAATCTCTGAATAACGGGAGATTGCACAGTGTGAAATGGAAGCGGCCAAGGCCTTGCTAGAGGAAAGATCACTGGATCAGGGAAGGAAGTATGTTTTATTCCAGGTGGACTGCACTTGGAAGGGTGGGGAATTATATTACGTTGTCACATACATCTTGGAGGATAGGAGGGTTTATCTGCATGACTACACACAGGCCTCAAGCTAATGTATAGTGAGAACAGACCAACATGTGTTATCTATTATTATTATTATTATTACTAATTATTACTAATGTAGATTCAACATTTGATTTGATATCCAAAGCACTGTCAATGCACATGTTTGAGCCTGTATTATGCATGTATGTCTTTCTAAAAATTACATAGACATTTTCACTTGAGCCAATGTGCATGTGCAGAATTCATAAACAAGTGAATAGAATTACTGTTAATTCTCACCGAGTTTACCCTTAGTAAATCAGACTCCATATGTGTATATATTAAAGCAAAACTTGCTTTGACAAAGGACATTGTTCTAAAGGCAAACCCATCATGCAGGTCATACAGGACAATATTTGCTGTGTGCATTTTTTTGTGAGATATATGTACAAACATGCATAAACGCTGATGTGTATACATGTATACCTATAACGTGTAAGAATGGTGCATTGGGTTACTGTGCTCTTCTTATTTTTAGAGGTCTTGCAAGGAAGTGCTGCACCACCTATCTGAATTTTATGTGCATCTAGAATTTTAGCAATGGCTAGACTGGTAATGTCCCTGCAGGGTAAATACATTAGCCATCAAGAAAACTGATAGGGATAAGCAAAATTAGATCACTGAAATTTATACAGTTTTGAAAAATAAGACTATCATACCACCTCGTAGAAATAGTGAAAAAAATATATATGTTGCCCATTCCAACATTTACATTTCACTCAAATTTTCAAATTTCCACTGGTATAATCACCTCTGAATCTTATTTTACAGGACTGGTACCAACATATTTAGTAAACGGGCTAGTTCAGTTCGACTCAATAACCCATCATGTAACAAATTTTAGTAGTATTTTATAACTACAGCAACATGTTAATAACTGACAAATCACAGTTTATAAACACATGCAAAATAATCTTGGAGTGGGTTATAGAGGATCCAGCTGTATTCTTTATGATATGTAAAATATATATGTGAAATATAATTACATTTCTAAGTATAGTTATAACTCTGTATTAGTTGTCTTTTTATTTTATAAATTTGCAAAGTATCACACAAAACTGAACAGTGGAGCCCATATACCATAACATGTAGAAAAATTATCATTAATTTAAAAAACAAAATGGATCATACACTGACCCCAACAGGAAAACCTGAAAGCGCGCATGCAGACAAATATACAAATACACACCCCATGACAGGCCAAGAATTACTTAAAAATGTTCTGAAAATTTAAGGTTGAACCTCATGTACTGTACTGCAATGTTAGGATTATAAAATAAACTACTTAGTTACTTATGTTATACTAAGCGAATTGTGTTTTGTTGTAATTTTATCAAGCATTTCACTACATTTATTAGGTAGCCTGAATTTGCTCACTCTCACACAACAGCACCAATAGGCTCAGCCACGTATCAGAAAGGACGAGCCATAGGGATTCCAGGTATCACCTACAGCCTCACTGAAGGAGAAATCTAAACAGTTTTAAAAGACAGGGGAAGGACACATCTCAGTCTAGTTTAGTTTAAATGACTATAAAATTAATTTCAGTGAAAACACCCCTCCTACTTGGGACATTTGTCATGTCAAAGTATGCATTAGCAAAAATGTTGCCCATATAGTTATACAATTGCACAGATTCTAGAAGTATGATGAACACAGAAAATCCATTAGGAAACAAAAGCCTGAGATAGAAAACCCCGGATTTAAAAGAAAATCTTAATAAAAATAGTCATGGGCAACAGTCCTTTACAGTATACAAGTATATTGCAAGTACACGTGACAAAATATAGGAAGATGTGTGCAAAATAATACAGTTTTTCCGGGGAAAATATAACTTATACTGTATTTAATATTATGTTAAATAAGTTGGACCTATACCTGCAAAATATGACTCTCTCTTCCTTTCAGCAAGGTGAACAAGGTCTTCCTTTATTTATGCTCCTCAGTGTTTTACTGCAGTTATAACACTAAAAAGTAAACTGAGCAATTTTCACTCTCTTCCTAAACTTAATAATGTCTGGGAGAATAAACTGCTTTGGCAGATTCCCAAGTTTTGTGGTTATGTATAATTTTTTATTGTAGGTGTTCTCTGTATGATAAAACATTTATGAGATTAAATTCACTAATATAATAATGAGACAACATGAGTAGTTTTGACAGCTGCAATTACAGATTTCAACCGGAGTGTTGCCTGCTAGTAAAACCTGGTACATTGGTTTTCTGAAAAACCATTGTTTCTAAAAGCTTGAACCTCAGTCCACAACCAAGGCAAAAGGCCTGGTCCCCAAGAGCAGTCCTTCTTAAAGTGTGGGTTGCGACCCCATATGGGGTCCCGCAAGTGAACAGGTGGGGTCACGATCTGAATCTTGTTTCGAGCACAGGCCTGCCTGGCCGTACCCCCTTGATGGCGGTCCTGGCCGGGGAGGCCTGGGCTCGAAACAAGATTTTTTTTGTTTTTGTTTAATGTGCTGTGTAGACATGTTCTCTGGTTTCCTGCTCTGTGCCCTGGTTTAGTAACACACACATACACACAAACACCCACACACACACACACGCACGCACACACGCACACACGTGGTTTAGCATTACCACTGTCCACATACTTGTCACCTGCAGTGGTCACTATGGAGACCTAGCAATCAAAATGGCATGTACTGAAACAAAGCTCTCCTGGGTTCCTTTTTTTTTCTGATCTATAACATGATGCAAAGTCTAAGGGAAAACTGGGTGGACTCACTCCACACCAGGTACCACTCTGCTTGCTTCTCAGGTCTCCTTGGGGTATGAGGTTTTATAGCATTATACAGCACTCCTGTAATGTCCTTACCGACCGCGAGCCGTCTGCGTCCCAGCGTGGAACGCATCGGCCGCGTCACGTGGGGCGCTTCCCCCCCTGAAGGGGAGGTTCCATGCGTTCCACCGTGGATCGCGGAAGTGACAGCACGCTCCACGGCTCGACTTCCGCGTACTATATAAGGGTCACATGAACGCTGTGAGAGCGTTCCACTATTGGGTTTGATGCCCCACCGACGCCAGGAGCCTCAAAACCCCCTCTGCACTCCAGGATCTCCAGCTACCTTGCACCAGCCACCTCCACTTCATCCTCAGGAGACTCGGGGACCCAGCCCCAAAGCGCAAGTATTGTACCTGGTGGGGGAATGACATTTAGCCTGCTGGATTGACTGAGTATCTTTCTCTATGGAACTGTGATTGATGTTATCTGCTTAAACCTGGCTAAATCCTGAACCTACTGCTATCTGACACTGATCATCCTCCCATAACTCAGAACTGTTACTATTATCCATTGCCGTTTCTTTTGATGCATATAGACCCAACTGGGTTATGAATTGAATAACCAATAGTAGGTCACTCCTTATAGTTTTCTTTTGTCGCAGATGATGCATGAACCCCTCACTCTCTGTCAAGATTGAGAGAGACGCCTGGGGTTCTAGCCTGATTGCCATACCCAACACTATTTCTTGACTTGATCCGCAGCTGTGATCCACTCACCTCTCATAACCCAAGGGCACATTACAACTCCATGGACTCTGTAGCCCCCAGACAGATAGGTAAACAGAAGCAGGGAAGATATGACCTCAGAGTAGGGTTACCACATGTCTGGGATTCACCCGGACAGTCCGGTTTTTGAGTCCTGTGTCCGGGTTCCAGGCCAGCTGACACCCTGACACAAGCTACTAAGTCCCGATACCACCACATATTCCTGTGAGCCGTGGGCACCTGTAAACCGGCACCGGCTCGCAAATCTCCTCCTCTGTCATCCTGACAGCACCCTGCCCACCTCTAGACCCCTGGTGAGACACCGCACAGCCCACACAGCACTCCTGAAAGCCTGCATAGCCCACCTGAGACCCCGCACAGCCACCTTTGAGTCCGCATAGCCCTGGTGAGAGCCTGCACAAGCCACCCTGGAGACATCAGGGTGCCACCCCAGAAGAACACAGAGTATGTAGCTTAATTTATTTTGTATTGCTGTATAATGTATTGCTGGGATTCCTAGTCCTCTAAATCTGGTCTCCTTACTCCCTCTCCTGGCTGCCTCTCCACGCTCTCTCCTCTATACTCTCCAAAAAATTGCTGTGCGTGGCGCTAGATTGTTCGGGTTTCACTTGAAGAAAAGGTGGCAACCCTACCTCAGAGCATGTGGCAAGAGAATACTCACAGGGATGTGGCTTTTGGGGACCAATGTTGCTGCATGGGGGGAAGAGATCTGGGTTTGGAGGGTAAGTGTGACTGCAGGAGAGAGTACTGAGGCTTGGGGGATGAGTAGGTAGGTGCTAGGGGAATACTCCTGATGGCTGTACACTCTAAAATGTACTTTACTTTGAAATCTCCTGACAGCTATGGTTCGTAAGAATATAAGAATATGGTTCGTGGTTGATAAAATATAAGATGGAAGGGACGACATTGGCGTTCCTTAAAAAAGATGTGCTGTATGGTACATATTACTGTCCATGACACTCTATAGGCTATGCTGTAAGTGATATAGTCCTGACGGCTGCACATAGGGGTTGATTTACTAAAGGCAAATAGGCTGTTCACCTTGAAAGGAAATGTTCACTTTGCAAAGGAATTTTGCCTTAGCTTAGTGAATGAGATGAAGCCCTGCTGACTTCCATCATGCAATCAAATGCAAGCAAATACATTTTTTTCTATTTTCCTTGCAGGTGATTGGGGATTCTTTGAAAAGTGAATTTCCACCATGTTCACCGAGCAAAGGAAAAATTACCTTGCAAAGTAAACAGCTATTTTCGCTATTTTCGCTTTTTAGTGAATATACTATAATCTGTCATGCAAATTACATACTCCTAACGTTATAAGAACATTTAGGTTTAGTAATAATTATCTGTTCATATTGTGGGTGAACAAAAGCATATGTGATAGAAGAATTTTACTTTTAAAAAAGAAACATTCTCTTGAGACATGTGTGTTAATGTTCGAACTCTATCTTGTGGCACAATAATTAATGCAGGACAAAATGATAGTGTCTCTGCAAAGGGCATTCCCCAAACCCATATACTCACATTATTTGCACTCCCTCACAGCTCCCTGCTCCTACACATGGGGCCCCAAATCCACTGTGCCGGTGACGTGGTGGAGTTGTGATGTCACTCCCCTGGACATAATTTTGTAGAAGACTGATACATATGTGTGGAGTGTATACAGCAAGTAGGCTCAAACTCTGTAACCAGGCCTTTTTAAGCCATGTACACTGTCTAGTGCCATGAGGCAATGCACACAGTTTCCTGCAGCATGATATACTGTATATATATAATGCAGCTTTTCACTGCCCACTGTTGTCCCATGACTGTTAGAATGCTAGCAATGCCCATGTCCCCAAAGCACTGTGTCTCAAGGGTTGCTGCAGGAGATTGGGACCCCTACATTTTACTACATAAGGAGACTAATTTACTAGAGGAGTTGAGAACCTCTAAAAAACAAATGTTTTAAATATTTACTCAAATTATCCAAATTATCCAATCGTGTGAAAAGCAAATTCCTGTTTACTTAATTCATCTGCATATGATTGAATAATTGCAGTGAATACAATTTGTGTGAAGATCCTCAACTTCTTTAGTAAATTGGACCAATAGAGGTCACATTTAAGATACAGGATATTCATTTAAACAGCACTTGATGTACATACCTCAGTTTGATTATTATTGTTTAGAAGAATAAGGTTAAAATTGTTAAACTGCCATTTTATTAGTTGCACTAACATTATATAATATTTAAGATATTGATAATGGTCAGTGACTTGGTATTCATTTAAAGAAGTGCCCTTGCCACCATAGTGTTCTTTTAGAAAGTGTCAGTTTTATGAGAGCAACTATCCTAATTTTTAAATAAAGATTTCTGTATGTGCTGTAAAGTACTCTTTTGCTGTACTTTCAAACCTATTTCTGTTACTCCAGTGCACTAAACATTTGTAGTAAGTAGAAAATTTGCCCTGTATGGGGCATTTTGTAAAAACCCCAATCCTTCTCAAAGAGCCATGTCAATTACTTTGTTAAATATATAATGGCCTGTCTTGGCATGTGCAAAGGACGAGCACAGCACTCTGCAGCACCAACACTGCAACATCTTGGGACTGACCCACCTATCAGACAGGTCTAGTGACTGTCGGCTCTCCAGAGAGTGCTGCCGACTGGTGAGGCGGCTTGAACCGGAGACAGACTCCACATCACTGCGCCCATTAGTGGCAGAGTCTGCGCTATCGTAATGCCTGCCATGCAGGGAAAGAGGAGACAGGTCAGAGGGGATCACACACACCCCTCCATCCTGCCATCCCACAGACATTAATGTATTAAGAGATGTTAACCATAATTATACAATCTGTCAGGTTTTAGATTAGAAATACTTTAACATTGCTGTGCAATAACTGTCTATCTTTACCTGACTGGCCGGTGGTCTGAGAAATCCATCTCATAGCTGTGTACAGAGTCAGTACAAGATCCATGGGAGCTGTACTGGTGTCTCACAGGATATTGGTGTACAGAGGCATTTGGCTGGCATGTTGAATAGTAAGCTGGAGGTATACTATTGCTGGTCTCACTTCGGTAATCACTGTCACGATCATCAACAGCACTATCAGGATCCTCATTGTCTGCAAGATAAAAGAGTAAGCAAGAATGACAGTATACTAATCATACATGTAGCTAAAGCCGCATTACTATTGATGGCCACCATATCATATTATTTCCATGAAAATTAGAAGATTATTGGGATGACTGCATTCTTGTGATGACTGCCAATGTGATGGATTTGACCATGTTTCCAGTCATCATACCACCATACAATTAGTTCTCTACAGAAACAGGAAACAGTTTTAGTGTTACCTGGTAACACATACCAGTGGCAATTGCTAAAAACTAAAAAACTGAATTTTATTTTACAAAATGCAAATGTATTCTAGGACAAAACGTTTTCTTTATAAAAGTAGATTTAAACCCTAGATGAATTAGATGAAAGACATTTAGTTTGCTAAAGCACTATTTATAAACAACTGCCACTTTTTTATAAAATAGAGTTATAAAATTTGTGTTGCATGTTACTGCTCCTGATTTCCAACAGCCTCCTTGCAGCAACTTCCTGTCTACATGCATGCACTCTAGTGATGTCTGCATGGCAGTTCTCAGGGCATGTTTCCTGATGTGACAACAATGGAACATACATGTGCAATGTGCATTTGCACAAAACTTACACAAAAAGGCTTCACTTCATTATAAATAAAACTCTAATCACATGGGATAATTTCACATTTAATGTTATCATCCCTCAGGTATAGGGTAGGGATGGGGTTCAACTGGAACTCTAGCTGTTCATAGTGCACTATGAACGTGTGATTTGCCCTTTTTGCCCATCTGCTGAAATTCTGGCTGCTGCATATCACTAACACCACTAAATGACAACTCCATGCTAAGGCTGGCTGTGCCATATGCAACTTCTGGAATTGCTTGTTAGGATGCTATGTGGGCTACTTACATCCTAGCAACCAATAATACTGTGCAGGCCGCATAACATTAATAGTTGCTAGGACGCAGGCAGATGAATTGTTATGGTGAAGGCAGCCTCTGGCATCCTAGCGACCAGAGTTCCTGCTGCCTGCTGGCTCATTTCCAATTGTAACCAGACTGAAAAGCATCATGGATGATGTCATTGACCATATAGGGTCATGACCATATTTGGTAAATGAGGACAGCCAGGTTTCTCAGTGCTGCTGTTTACAATCCAGCAGAAGTGGGGAAATGTCAGTTGCGGTGGGTGAGCGATGGGAGCAGAACTGTCACTGGATGACGTAATTGACAGATTGGATTCACATCATGGGCTTTTTTTGTTAATAAAATACTTTTTCAAACATGCGGGGTGTTTTTTTTTCTTCAATTTTCAACTTTTATCTGCGAATGATTAACCAGGGGTATGTACCCCTTACTCATTCAAGGGGGATACTTTATTTTTGAACGGGCTTCCAGAATGCGATAAGTCCTCCATCCTAGATCCCCACATCCTCTTGGGGACTGGATGTATGGATAGGGCTCTTGTCCACATCAACATGAGGACATGGTGCCTTGCCAAGGAGGGTTTCCCCTGGAAAGGTACCATCTCCATATTGAGGGCATGTGACCTGGTAGTGCCTTTCATAGCCAGCCAGGCTGCATGCCTGGATAAGAGTCTGGTATGGATTTTGGGGTGAACCCCAGATTTTTTTGGTTTTGTTTTTTTGCAAGGGCTCCAACCTAGCAATTCCCCTTGAGCGCCTGTTCACACCAGCAACTTCGCGAATGCTGGTGTGCGTGTGCCGGGACAGTGTCAATGTGCTTGATCGAGCCACATCACACTGTTTCTTTTTTTTTGTTAGAACGTTATTGAAATATCACAAGTGACATTTCATTAAGTTCTATGGCCACACTGTGGTGCAAAGCGGCTGTACCTTATTTTACTGTGGTCCACCTAAAAAAAGGTACTGCATGTGAACTGTACCCAACCATAACAAGGCAAACTGCCTTGTCTTGTGTTCATACTGCGCTGGAAATAAACGGGCATCAAAGTCCGAACGCATATGGTGTGAACAGGTCCTAACACTCCGACTGATTCAGTTATCCCTAGTGTGGCCCATAAAGATCCCACAGCCTGAGCAGAGGTGAGACATACCTATCATCCTACACAATGTTGTTATGAGTATCGATACGTTTATTGTGGTTCTTAAATGATTCTTAGATGGAGAGCTTTGTCTACATTATATTTAAGTTGTATGAGTAACTGATGCTACGATGTCTCCACTTGTGAATGGAGTTCTGCCGGGTTTTAGTTGGCCCTTTTGCCTGCTGAAAGTTTTTATTTTTATACTCATAAATGTTTTTTTACTTGGAATTGTGGCCTTATGATGATGAATATGTATTTAAAGATGGGTAGATGTGAGTATTTCTTGTTGAGTTTTGTTGTGCTGATATGTGTAGCTGTTATGTTGAGCTACCCTTAGTGAGCTATGGTTAACATTTTTTTAAAGATATCATAGTTCAATGCAGGTTTAGCTCCAGGTAGCCTTTTGAGTCCCATACTTTAACACAGTAAATACATTAAAGGAGAAAAGAAAAAATCTGGAGCAGTTGCCCATGTCAACCAATCAGCTTCTAACTTTCTTTTCAATACTACTACGAATTGCTGTGGTAGGAATCCCAAAGATACTGTTTAGAAGTGGCAGCTGTCACCTGTTACATGCGGCTAGGAATTGCATGCGGTTAGGAATAGATCACTATCCCTGGACACATAGTTACATAGTTACATAGTATTTGGGGTTGAATAAAGACATACGTCCATCAAGTCCAACCCATATAGGTCCACGCATCATCTCATTCTTAGGGATACTGGTATCCCTGGATATTACGGTCAGTCAAATAAATTGTCCAAACGTTGCTTGAACAAATCTACACTCTTGGCTGAAATCACATGATCAGTGCGACCAGGGACAGTGATCTATTACTAACCGCATGTAATTGTATCACATACGGTGTGTCGGCAGATTCCGCTGTTAAATGCAGCCACTGTCACCCAATCAATAACTTGAATGGGTGACAGTTGGCATATTTGGAATTTCTACCGCAGGAATTCATAGGTTCCAGCTGCAGTAATAACAAAATGCACCTACACTGTAGGTGTGATTGAAGCCTAACTCATTATTAACCCATAGTTAGCCTTAATCAGTCATAATGAACTAATTCCTTAACCTCTTATTTTACCTATTATTTGATGATGATAATTTTTTATTTTAGCAATCATACTGTACATGAAAATGTTTTGTTTGGGTTTTTTTTTCATTGCATTAAAAGTGCAGTTATCATTTAATACTAGAGCACTTGGAAGCAAAGGTAGCTACTAATGTTAGCCAAACATGCAATATACATTACACACGTCCAGGTAAAATACAAACTGAAGCATTAAACTTTTACCTGTAAAGGCATGTATGTTTATATGGTATATACACACACACCACATGAAAAGGATTTTTTTGTATACTTACTTTGCTGTTCACCCCAGCCAAAATAATTCCAGTTACCTAAATATGAGAAATGTTTATGAAGATTGTTAAATAAATCTATGTTAGAAACATTTCACATACTTGAATTAACTAAACAAAATATTATTTTCCACCTAACCAGCATTGAGTAGTCTCCACCATGAGTACGGGGTTGCACACAATGGTGACCAGACTGTGGGAGGAAAAGTCCTATAAACAGCCCTATAGTTGACATACTTTAGAATATCATTAAATGAGGACAATAAATGGCAAATATGCACACACCTGGAAAAGAAATACATGCATGTTGCTAAGCCATGCCACTTTCAGGGAAAACTGGCAATATTCAGGCAAAATGGGGAAAGTTGGATGAAATTTAGAAAGCAAAAGTTGACTTTTTAATTTCATTTAGAATATAATTGTAGTCTCTGACATAATTGAGCTAGTTTACAAAAGGAGTTAAGAGTCTTCACTCACAAAATCATGAGACTATTAACCTAATTTATCCAATCATGTGAAAAGCATCTGCACATCATCTGGAACTCAAACTGAACAGAAATGTGCTTTTCACATGACTGGATAATTAAAGTGAAAATGTACACAATGTTTTAAGTTAGGATAATCAACTCTGCTAGAAAAGCAGCCTCCATGATTTAACTAAAATAAACGAGTGGACTGTAATGTCTCAACAGAATATGGAATGTACCTTTACAGTGACTTGAATAAAGCGTAACACTGTATCTGGCAGCTGTGTATATCTGCTGCTACTGAGACACAAGCGGAAGCATTCAGTTTCTAAAAGTTTTAGAGGAGTCAAGGACATAGGATTAGGCTACTGGCATGCGTGTTTTTGGTACAGTAAAAAAACACATTAATTTTACTCAATTATACTTATTTCAAAACAGTTTTGACTGGAAAATATTTATGTTATGAGAAATGATACTTACAGCACTGAGAACCATGAACGGGTAAGGGATTCTCCTGCTCTTCTTGAAACACATACTGAAATTAAAAAATTAGATAAGAAAATTGTTACAAAGGTCCTTTTTTGAACACGACATCTCATTTTCTCTTCTCTGCTATCCACTGACTTCCTAAAGAGACTCGGGTGGCAAAATGTATACTAACCCATTGCTGCCCAAATGGAGAATAACAAGACAGGAATCCTGTGTCTGGAAATTTTGATTCTTATTGGTCACTCATTTACTATGCATAATATAGGCCGGCACTTTCCAGATACCACCAGACTATGACAGGGATGATACACTTTGATATATTAGGAGTTTTAAATGTTATGTAGCAGTACTAGGGGTGAGCAAATCTAGCGAATCTGCATAGGCTGGATACAAAATTTGTGAACTGCAAATTCTGATGGAAACCCACTTAAAGTCAATGGGTGACAAATTTTAATGAGCAATTGTAACTAGCAAATGTACAGTGGGGGAGGGCCTTTTTATGTGGCTTGGATTACAGGATTAGATGATTCCGTAAAAGTTGTACATGGTGTTACAGAACAGCATCATTCAGGGATTGCCCCAGTGACAGTGTACTCTGGAAGCATATATATTTTTTTTTTCATCAGCACTCTTGTACATGATGTAGCTGGATTGGTCAGTGACTTTGTGTTCAGCCTTACCATTGCTTTGTCCTGCTGGACCTGCTTTCCCCCTACTACCTCTATTTGCAGTACCTCTGCCTCCTATTTTAGGCTTGTCTGCCATTGTCTGGCTTTTATTGTGTGGTGGTTTTGGAGTGCCCCATTTTTCTGCACAGCAATGTGGCTGCATGTGCTGTGTACAAAGAGCAGCACACATTAGCAGCACCTCTGCCTCTACCTTTAGGCCTGCCTGTCATTGTCGTTTTTTTGGGTATCCCTAACCTATTTTTAACAAGGCAATAAGAAGGTAGGGTGAATGTAAGAAATGAGGATGGTATAAACACAATCCTAAATGCACCACAAAAACTGAAAATTAACAGTTCAGAAACAGTTACACAAAATAAAGAAGCTGGATCAAATAGTTTACAGCCACACATCATAAAAGAATTGAGCTCAGTTATTGCTAAGCCATTCTTTTAATATTTAGAAATTCTTTCATGACTAGCTTTTACCAATGGATTGACACAAGGCATATGTGGTGCTTAAATTATTAAGGGATCAAGTTCTTCACCCAGTAACTATATGGCACTAAGTTTAGCTTCTATAGCATCAATTTTATTTGAGGCTTTGCTAAGTGACCAAGCTCACTCCCGTGATAGACTACAATCTCATGTTTACTCTACTAATCTGCATTGAAATTATAAGAAGTTAGCTTGGAGAGGTGGCTACAACAAACGCAGGGACCATGGGGAACAAAAATAACCACTCTCCAGAAGGAAGGACAGTATCAGCACAAATTCATAGATGATTTGAGGATCTACAGCCCAGTGATACACAAATAAGTTATTGTTTTGTTAGTAGTTAAGTACTTGAATGCATTTTTAATATTTAATTACTGAGTGACACAATAAGGTTTTTTCTTACTTTCCTCTGGATGAACTGTGGGTTTAGGGTCATGAGAATGCAAAGTCAACATTTTGTTTATTTTTATCTTTTGGTATAACTTGATGTAAATATGTCTTTTTTTCAACCTGACTAACTATAACAATTTTTGGGCCATTCAATGAGCTTGAATTAAGTAGTAGTACCAGCAGAGATGAACATTAATGATTATCTGCAATTACACTAATATTAGAGTAAATCTGTATAGGTATCACATACTTTTAGTTATCATCTAGAGCACCCAGGGGGCCCTGGAACCCAACACACTCTGAACCTTTGTTATGATGGACCTCAAGTACTAGTAGTGAGCTGTGGGAAAGGATGGCCAGAAGCTAGCTTCCATGTCAGAAAACATAAACAGTACCCCAGGTTCCAGGCCACACTAGATAATTAAAAGGTACAGTATGTTTACGCTCCTCTAGGTGCCTGCATTTTAACATCCCAACTTCTATTAGTTTGATAGTTCTACCACAATTACTATTAGCCTCTTTTTTTTTTTTTTACTTTGTTGCATTTCTATACTGCTACACTTAAAATAGACGTTAAGTGTTGATCTACAATGTAACACTGCATTTTCAACATTCTGCCAACAAAGTTTTTTTAATTGATTACTTACATCATCCTGATCCCTCATAGCATTTAGCTGCTCTAACTTCTTTGCCCAGTATCGAGCCTCCTCTTCCGGAATATCTAAAGAGTAAAAATGTAATTTACCATTTATATACTCTGTACGACTTTTCCATCTCAGTTTTACCAGTCTCAATCCTTCCTATCCTATCAAAGCAACATGATTTTTTAGTAACTTTAAAAGCGTATATGATCAACAAATACATCATACCCTCAAGTATAAACTTAAGAAAACATATTTTTACTATAAATAATGTTAGAAATCTCATTTAAAAAGGGACAGGTAAGGGCTAATATAGTATGATAATGAGCCACATTGTACAGTATGTCTGTAGAAATCATAGAAACCAATATGGTATTGTGTTTCATGCTGTCAATAAATGTTAGAAAATAAAAAGGACAATATGGTTGTTTGCTAGAGGCAACACAGAGTTTCTTTGTTTCAGATACCTTTCTACATTAAGTCCACTTTCTCAGCTTAGGTCAGATGCAAGCAACAATGTATTGCTGAACCTTTACTGTAGGAATTCCTACAAATTTTGCTTTTTTGTAATAGTAATAAATGTGGAAATAGAACAGTATACCTTGGACAGGGGTAGGGAAAGAGTCAATATCTGACTGTCTCCTCTTACAGCTACTGGCTGCTGAACTGCTTAGAGAGAGCTCTTCCCTTCCCTTGCTCTCCCTGTAATTAGTTTTCTGTAGAGTAGCAGAGCAAAGCAAAGCAGCTAAGAGAGAACTTCTACCTTCCCTTTGCTCCGCCTGTAATTAGTTTGCCATTGGGACCAAGGAGAAGAAACTCAGTCCCTATGTAAGCTCTAAGTCAATCCTGGATCTTCACATGGCTGAGGACTCCCTTCCTTCTCCCATGTGTAAGCACTGGTGTCTAAAAGGGCCAATTGCTAATCAGCAATGATTGCACAATGGAAGAAGGGGAGTGAGTCAATTGTTCCCTTATACCTGGAGGTACTGGCCATTACACTTCTCTGTAGGTGCTGAAAAGAGTAGGAGGAGTGTAAAGGGAAGATAAAACCACAAATTTTGAAATTAACTTTGCAGCAATGTATTGTTGCAGTTGTAGTCAAAAAGCCTGACCTGGCCAGTACCACCTGAACACATTCTTGGCCAGTGGTCTTGAAAGCCTAGACGCCCAGACAAAATTTAGCAATATCATTATGGGGTCTATTCACGTAGCTGCTGAAGGATCTAGCCATAGCTTCGGCCGATCCTTCGGCTAGCTTCGGCCCCAGGACCCCTTCGGTTCAGTAGAACCGATGGGGTGCTGTACGGGCTATTCACTATAGCCCGTACAGCTCCCGAACGTGGCCGAGAACGCACAATCGTTTTCTGTTTACTTTTTGTAACTTTTTAAACTATTTTTCAGCGGCATTCGGCTATTCACTCACTGCTGTTCGGCATCTATAAGAATAGGCCGAACAGCAGTGAGTAGCCTGCCAGAGGCTCGGCTCAGCCGGTCCAGATGTTGGATCGGCTGAGTCGAATTCCTTCTGTACTTCGGGTCAGCCGAACATGCTGAGCATATTCGGCCGACCCGAAGCCATGCAAAGCAAGCCGATGTACGGCTGATTTCAGCCGATGTATGGCTGAAATCAGCCACACCAGCCTGAAGTGAATAGCCGAACAGTGCTCGGCTCACTTCACTTCAGGTCGGTCATTCACTCGGCTGCCTACGGCAGCTTAGTGAATAGACCCCTATGTTTTGTTTATGGCTATAACTCTATACCGAAGTAGCCTACCTAAGTAACCTTTACAGGCTTTTAAGAATTTTATTTGGTACACTCTTTTAATTAATTCCCTGATTAAATTTTTTTAAATAATAAGCTGATAAATGGATAAAATGCTGATAGTAAAGCAATGTACACTTAACAACTGATAATAATTTTTAAAACTGTGGTAACTAATTTTCTTTTACAGCCTGCATCTCAGTTGTACAGTGAAATATAGGCTTCAGCAGATATTGTGCATCTCACTGGCCAGGCACAATGACAGATGAGCTGGCAGGTATGTTCAGTAAACACAGTCACCAACTGGTAAGAAGTTATAATGATACTCTAGCAAATCAATGTTTTGTCCAAGAAAAAAAAAAGTGAAACATTTCTGCACAGTTCTTGATGTTTTCAATACAAATGTATCCTTTAAAACAGCATCTGAAATTCTATTATTTATACATAAGACCATATGTGCATTTCTGCCTTTTAGCCAGTTAGGGGCTTCCTTTATTCCTTTTTCATGTAGCCAACAGTTAGTATCCCCTTTTGTGTAAGCTGCATAACTGAACAAGTATGGTAATTGTTCAGTAACTGAACAAAGTGGGTCATGCAATTTTAACTGCTGCCTCTGTACACAGCTTGGGATTTCTGCCCTGTTAGGATTTCACCACGATCAGAAATTCTGTTATAGTAGATGGAAGCTCTTTGTTTTACAAGGGCTGATTAAAAAACTGTTAGAATAGAGGCTAGGGTTGGGCCATATTTGTTTATAGAATTCTGAAAGCAAACCATCTATACCTGGAGTTTTTGCTGTAGTTACCATTAATTCATTTTCATTTCTAGAGAATCTATTAAAGCTCAGAACTTTGTTTTGAATATAGTGAAGAAGAGTTAGAATCTCTATTGTGTTTTATTGCTGTTTGTGGCTCTACTGGGGAAATTTCCCCTAACTTTGTAATTTAGGAATGTTATAATATAAAAAGTAAAAACACAATTGTATTTTGTTACCTAATGGAAGTTCAAACCGAGCGTCAAGCAAGATGCGGTGGAAGGTGGGGTCTTTGGTTCCACAGATCTCATTATCTGTCATTATAACTTGAGAGTCAAGGGTCAACCATTCACCTGGGCCTTCCTATCATGAAGTGAAATAACAGAAATCTGGTTTAGGACAGTAACAAAAAAAATGAGTGAAAGGAATTTGTCAATTCAAAAATACTGAATTAAATATATCTGTATATACACAGAGCTCTACTAAAGACAATGTTTACAGAATCTTTTAAGCAACATTACCTCGAGGTAATGTTGCTGTCCTCATAGCTGCTTGCTATGAGTTGTAGAAACATGAGGCAGGTCTGTCCCTCTATGTAAGTTGATCAATGGAGCAGCCATAGTGCAGCTCATTTAAAGTGACACTAAACTTGAGAGTTAAATCAGTTAAAATACATTCAAGTACCTTAAAGGAGAACTATGAGGTGAGTGATTTTCACTCAACCTCATAGTTCGAGTCGACGTGTGACAATAAAACTGTCACACGTCGGCTTAATAGATCGGAAAGTGAGCGAACACATACCGTCGCTCACTCACTTCTCGATCATCTCCCTGCAGAGAGCCGTGACTGTCACTCACGGCCCCCTGCAGGGATTCCCCCCTCCCCGCTCCGATCCTCCATGGCTGACTGGAGGAACGGATGGGGGAGGGGGCAGGCACAGCTGGATCTGCCTCTAGATAGGGAGAGCCAGCTGTCACTCACGCAGCTGGGTGGATCTCGACAGTAATGTCGGGATCTGTCCCGGCTGCGGCGGTCTCAGTATACCGCGAGCTGTAGCTCACGATATACTGAGCTTTGGGTCACGAGAGGATGCTAGTTTATGTCCTCTCGTGTTACTGTTACCTGTAAACTGTTACCCCATAGTTCTCCTTTAACTATAAACAAAAATGTATCTTATTTGTGTATCAGTTTGCTGTATATCCTCAAATCCTCTCTGAATTGTTGCTGACACTGTCCTTCCTTTTGTGGCTACTTTTGTTTCCCATGGTCCATGTGTGTGTTGCAAAGTAACAACCGCTCTAACATCGCTTCCATGATAGGCTATAATTTCAATACAAATTAGTAAACTAAGTGAGTGTGAGATTTTAGTTCATCATGGGAGTGAGCTTGGAGTGGTGGCTACTTTACAACATACACAAAGACCATGGGTAAAAAAGTAGCCACCCTCGAGAAGGAAGGACAGTGTCAGCATGAATTCAGAGATGAGTTGAGGATCTACAGCCGAGTAATACACAAATAAGATACAGTACTGTTAACAGTTAAGATACTTTTTTACACATTTTTAAGATTTAACTCCTGTGTTTACTGTCACTTTAAGATCTTCCAGGCTGGCTCCTGTTAACTGACACGCCACACAGAAAACTCATACCAGTGATGAATGTCCAATAACACCAATAAAACTGCAACAAAATCTTGGTGGATCCAATTATCCACAAAAGCTTTAAACTTTGTAACTCCTGACACATCTGAAAATAGCGGAATCACACCATGTGAAAAGAAATCCAACAAAAGCGCATTTGACTAGTGCATGAAATCTACTTGAATAGAAAGAAAGTTCAGATCAGAGGGATATAAAGAAAGTGCATGAAATCCACTTTAATAAAAAAACAAAGCTCTGTTACACTTACTTTATGGTGTTGGAAGATCAAGTAGGAAGTGGCTGTGATGACTGTGGAAAGTTATCCAAGCTCATGCTGGCTCTATAGCTGGCCACAGAGGAACAGGCATGTATGCAGGGCCGCTGCTAGGGGGGTACAGGCAATCCTCCTGTACTGAGCCCAGGTCCAATCAGGTCAGCAGGAGGGCTCATTGGCAGGGGATGTCTGTGGGTGCACGCACTACTACCTCTCCCTAGGTCTATGGAACGATCCCAGGCTTTTTCTAGCAAAGATAATGGAGAATAATCTATCCTCAATTGCTCGATAATCTAACGTTCCCAGCATTGTTCCGATTGTGACATTGAATCATCTAGAGCATGCTGTCACCAGACCAGTGGCGGACCTAAGGAAAAAAGGGCCCTGGTGCAAGATTTTTTTGGAGCCCCTTCGACCCAAAAAACCCCCCCACAAACCCCCCAATCCACACGCCCTGAAGCAACCACAAAAAAAATCACAGCACTCTCCTCCCGCAGCACTCAGCCGGCTGTCACACTTTCTCTCCACCCCGCTGGGACACAGAGCAGCACCCAGCGGGGAGGAAAGAAACAAAGGATGCGCCGATGTATCGGCCGATATGTCTCTGTGCCGATCGTGGATGTGGGCGGGCGGTGAGACGGGGAGGGTGGAGCGTGAATGCAAGCGGCCAGGTCTAGCAGCTGCAAGCGTGAGGCGGGGAGGAGGTGTGTGGAGCCGTGAACAGGGCCAACTAATCAAAAGCCGATAATCGATGATTGAAAACTTGGACAACAACTTTTTCAATCATCGATTATAATCGACTTAGTCAATTAATTGTTGCAGCTCTACATTCATCCCAGATTTCTGGGGACAGTCCCCGGATTGAGGAGACCCTCCCCAAACAAATTATGTCCCCGGGAACATAAAATAAAACTTTTTTTAAAATACTTACCTGATACAGCTTCTGAGAAGATACGCTATTAGAATAGCGAGGAAGCTGGCTGCGCATTTTGCATAGCGCCCGCTACGCTAATAGCATATCTTCTCAGAAGCTGTACACATTGCGCGCAAGCTTCTGACAGCATGGGAGACGGGAGGCTGCGCTTGTTGGTGGATACAAGTAATTCACCAGCACACACTTGAAGGATTTTTAAAGTATTGATATGTTTATTCAATACCCAATGTCACATACTGTCATACGGTGCTTACGTTTCGGAAGCGGCCGGAGGCTTCATTTGGCGGGGGTCGGTGACGGGACCCCTGACGGCCCCGCGGGCAGGGGACGTTTTTAAAGGCAGTAGTCCGCCCCTGGTGCTGGGCCCCCCAGGCTGAGGCCCCATGTTCCGGCGCACCGGTTGCACTGGCGGTAGTTCCGCCACTGCAACAGACTGAGTGTGGTCGCTTCCTGCTCATGTGAGACAGTGAAGGAGGTCCAAGTTTTGAGTTTCTCAGGCAGGACTGCTTTCAGTTTTTTAGTTAGCTACATGTCCTTAGGGGGAAGTGAGGGCTTAAGGGGGAGATCATAAAAGGGTTTGGAATTCTCCCATCATGCGAGTCTTGGAATCCCAGGTTGAGCACCCATCATCACTCTCATTGCTGGCCACAGTCTGTGTATCTTTTCTGCAGACCTTTTAACTTGTTAGATCATTCAGATGGTTTGCATTGTCCAAGTTAATTAAAGACAAAGCTGGGCTGGAGTGGCCGTGCAGGTTCTGGAGAAAGATTAGAATTCTACAATTTATACTTCAGGGCATATTTAGGCTTTATTCACACTGTGCGATTTGGGATACCAGCAGGAACTTATGGATTCCTGCTGCAGGAACCTATGGATTCCTGCAGCAGGAATCCCAAATCTCACATTTAGATGTGGCCGCTGTACCTGTTCAAGTAAATGACTGAGTGACAGCCGCATCTGTAAGCAGAAGTCTTCAGGAAATCATATGTGATATGATTACATGTGGTTTGGAATGCATGTGGCTTGGAATAGATCATTGTCCCTGGATGCACAATAAATGCATCTAGGATCAAACCTCATATGATTGCATACGAATCTCAAATTGCACAGTGTGAGTGTCGCTTTACACGGTTCAGTATGGGGGAATGGTCATTGTCAGTGGCCTATAGCTGTCAAGCAGATTTTCTTTTGCAGTGAACTTGGTAAAAGCTGATTTCTGATTGGTTGCTCTGGTTGCTTTGGGTTACTGTACATCACTCCTGCAGTGGCATGCAAAATAGGCAGCTTTCCTTTATTTTTCATGTTTAATTGTACCTACTGTGTATGTGACTTCAGGGCCACAGGGGGGTACAGCCTATGATTTCTAATGGTGGCCCTGCATGTGTGTGTTTACAAACTGGAATCCCTCCAGTTACTCCAGTCCCCTGGCAGGTGAGTAACTAATTTTTAATGTGTATGTATACCCAAACCTTTGTTTTTTCAGTTTTGGTAAAGTAAAGAAGGGTTAAACACCTTGTCAGATTATTTGCTGTATGCGTCCTTATTAGGAGACTTCCTTTTGCTTTCTGGCCCTGAGATGCACCAGGAAGTGAGAGGAAATCTCTAAAAGGTGGGGACAAGTACCCACTATTGCAAGATTTACCCTCACCACTTGTTCTAGTGACATCTGTAATATTTTGGATTTCCCATCATTTCTTCTCAATGAAAATGGCCACCAGAACAAAAATAGTGGGTGAATTTACCCTGTAGGCACATAGACAGCAATAAAAATCTTGACAGATGTTCTTAACCTTTCCAACTTTATGCAATAAAACTTTTGGCTAGTCAGACACTTTACTTTATAGGGATAACATTTTCACCTGCATGACATAACTGGCCTACTAAGGAAATAGTTTACATCTAAAAGTGTTTTTACTTAAAGGAAGATTTCATGTGGATCACACCAGGTGATCAGGGGTCACCTGTTGCCATCTGTCCTTATCGGCCCTACATAGTAGAAATGGTAAGTAAGAGAGGTGGAGCCCACTCAAATATACTCTCTTTAGTTTCCATTATCTTTTGCCCCATTCGATGCTGTAAGGGTCAGCTTCAAATGCAGAGCTTGCAGAGAGATAGTAGAGATGCCAAAGTGCCTTTATCGCCTACTTGCCTGTGCTTATTCATAAATGTTGCATCAAACACAAATGCAAAAGAGTTTCCCTATCAGGGGTCTGTGTCAGCACAATCCAATACACAACAAAAACAATCAACCTACTAAATAGTTATGTGATCATACGGATCAGCTTAGTCCAGCAGTCTGTCCCAGCACAGCCTGCATGAAGTCCCTCTCTCTCTCTCTCTCTAAAGGTGGCCATACACTTTACAACCATTGCAACACCTTAGTCTTGCGATGGTTGTAAAGTAATTAAAAAAAGTACGATCTGCCCATCTTGGACATCGCAAGCCCGCCCCCCTGTGGGGCGTGTTTCCGATGACCGCAATGCCGAACGGGCAGTGTGCGCGTGCGCACAGCGGCCCATTCGGCATTTGTCTCCCAAGCATGCCACAAACCAGCCAAAAATGTAAGATTTTCGGCTGGTTTTCGAACATCCTCCTTAGACAAAAGACGTACAGTAAAAAGGTTGCACGCCTTCCATACACTTTGCGATTATCGTACGATCGCATGATTCCCCGCGATTATCGTACGATTATCGCACAGTGTATGGGCACCTTTACACACCACCTACTAATCCAAGAAAAGATTTCTATTAGCAGATCACTCCTAAGGTGCCCATACACTGTGCGATTATCGTATATAGAGTAGTACAACTTTTCTACTGGATTGAATGAATGAAGATTGCATGTGCAGGAGCATGACCTGACAGTGAGTATCTTCTAGAAAAGGCATTTTAGCGCTGAGCAGACTGCACAGCAAACTGGACTGGAGATAGGTAAATGTGTTGCTTCTCAGGGGTGATGGGGAAGGGCAGTGGAGCCTACTATGGTTAAGTTTACTGAAGTCGGTATACTATGGTTAAGTTTACTGAAGGCGGTATAAAAATCTTTTCTATTTTTCACTTTTTGCTTTGAAAATATATAGAAAGTAAAATAATTAGACATATAAGACAATAAGACAATACCATCAGATAAAAACCTTGTATTATATGTATTAATAAATTAATTGTTGAATCATAAGGCACTAGTAGGCACACAGCTGAAATGTGAAAAGTGTTCTGGTAAATAGCTGTGAGAGCTGAAGTGGTTATAATAAACCTTTCCCTAGATAAATATGTAGGCTGCCATTGCAGACGTTTAGTTTTGATATAATGACAGAATTACTTTATAAAAATGTGATTTTTCTTAACAAACCTGGAGTTTCACTTTTCATCCCTACTTTTTCTATTTTTTTAAAGTCTATGATGCTTACCTCATTGGACTGTCGAATGGTTCTTAATGGAATCCATACGGTCCCTAGCATTGTATCCCAAATCAGTCCTTTATTCCAGACTTCCACTGTCAATCCCAAATCCAGCCTGCTAATCTCACTGCAGACAAACAGAAAGTAACCTTACTTCATGATGCAAGACACAGCTGATGATCAGGTTAGGAATCACTATTCTTTACTCACAACATGAAGTCTTGCTCCCAACAGGGCAAGTTGCCCCTGACTGTAATAGTCGTGCTCTTCACATTTTGTACTTTTAAGGTTACATAAGCATTAAACTTTTCTGTCAAAAAACAGAAACACATTTATTTTAGAAACCTCATTATACAAGTGGTAAAGCCTAATTATCTACAGCATAGGCACACCTACATATACATGTTGCATAAGTACTGCATGCTGAGGGCTATAATGATTCTGGTATACATAGCTCTTGCGTTTCTTTTCTTCCAATATAGAATAAAGCTAATAGAAAAACTGTTAGGTGTTGGTACTGTTCAGAACTACATACTTGCATTTCAGCATAAAAATAACACTATTACAAAATGCCTTATCCTTTAATTAATATACAATAAAGAGACTTGAACAGTTACAAGTACTGAACAGTTACAAGTAATGAATATTATTAATTAACAGTAAAAAAAAATGTAAAAGCCAAATGTATTGATTTGGCTAATGTATGAATACAACACCTATGTGACGTAAGAACTTTACATGACGCCCCTGACTGTAACTTATTATTATTGTTATTATGACATAATATTTGCGCATTAACAACAGTTTGCGCAGCGCTTTACAATATAAAGGAAGACATTACAATCACAATACAATTCAAGACAAGATGGTAAGGAGGGCCCTGCCCCTGGGGGCTTACAATCTAAAAGAGGAGGGGGAAATTATACATGAGGAGGTAGCTGTGTGGGGATGAATTATTTGAGAATGTGATGGTTCAGTGGTTAGGTTGAGGTGGGATAGGCTTCCCTGAAGAGATGAGTCTTTAGGGAACGCCTAAAGGCAGTCAAGGTGGGAGATAGATGGTCCGGTTGGGGTAAAGAGTTCCAGAGGATGGGAGAGACTCTAGAGAAGTCTTGGAGGTGAATATGGGAGGAGTGGACACGGGAGCTGGAAAGCAGGAGGTCTAAGGAAGAGCGGAGTGAACGGTTAGGGTGATATTTTGAGACAAGGTCTGAGATATATCCGGGGGCAGAGTTGTGAATGGCTTTATAAGTGACTGTTAATATTTTGAATTTTATTCTCTGGGCGAGTGGAAGCCAGTGGAGGGATTGACAGAGGGGGGATGCAGACACTGTCAGAGAGAAGCTTTGCAGCCTCCTCTGTGGTGACAGGGTCAAAAGAGGAAAGTAACAAGTGTGATACTTACTGGGTTAATGCTTATTTAACATCAGCCAAAACTTTTTTTATAGCTTTGAATAGTTAGGAATGTCTAGAACCTCTGTCAGCTTTTAGTGTTGTGTGCATCTCCCCAAATTGAGGACTTTGGCACTTGTCAATGGAACACTTGACCACAATGGTCACCACTCCTGTTCCATTAACAAATGTACGTTTTTACATTTCCAATCACTTTCTGTCCTGGTTAGAGTAGTCACCAGGACAAAAGAGAACTGAAATGACAACAATAAAATGTGTTAGTTAGAGAAAAACATTTTGGCTGGAATTCTACTTTACCAAGCTATGGGCTACTATAAAAAAATGACCCCTTCATGACCAGTGACGTATAGTGTACGTCACTGGCATCGGGCCCGTTTAAATAGACTCTGTTTACACTTGTAATGCCGACTGTCGGCTTTACAGTAGAAGTGACTCTGGCGGCTCAGCCGTTGGTAAACGGCGTGTGTACCCCTCCCCCCGCCCAACACCCCCGCCGTGTTTCTCGGGCTCCGCTGCCCCTCCTACAGGACCGGCTTCTCTGGTGTCGGGGGGAACTTGGGGAGGAGATCAGCGAACCTCTGTTCACCGATCTCCTCCCCGTACTAGGGGACCGGGAGCGATGCAGATGACATCACTTCCGGTCCCATAGCTGTCAGTCCTGGGCTCCTGAAGCCCAGCAATAAGCTATTGAAGTGCGATCTGCACTTCGATAGCTTATTTCAAGTGTAAAGGTGATACTAGGGGTTCTGTCACCACCACTATGCTATCACATGCTTGTATGCTATCACATGCTTGTAAGCCCCCTATGTGATAGCAATTAAAGTAAAGTTAAATAAATAACTGTTTTTAAAATTAATAATAAAATACATGTAAAAATAATATAAAAAAATGTTTTAAAGTCCCCCGCGAGCACACGTGTCTTCACGTAAAGCAAAACAAAAACGCGTTGGGTGCACCTACGCATGAAAACGACGATCGCGTTACACATGTTGGGTATCGTCGCGCATGCCGGAGTGAGAGCAATAATTCTAGGGCAAATATTTATGCGCATCTCTAAATTGATGACCTGTGGGTGCTTTTAAAGTGTTGGCTTTGGGCTTTTTGGGGGTAATGAATTTTGTCGCAGTTTCACGGACGCACACAATTTTTAACCTGGCCATGTTGGGTATCTATTTACTCGTTGTAACCTCCTCTTTTATGTTTTATTTTAAAAAAAACTGGTATTTTGTTGTGTTTTGGGGCATTTAAGTGCATTTTCACTAATTTTTTTGGTTTCATAAGGATTTAGTCTAATATTGTGCAACATAAAAATGGTATTCTATAGGGTCTTGGCTTTCAGAAAATATATAATGTTTGGGAGTTTTAAGTAATTTTCAGGCCTAAAATGTGGATTACAACATGTAAACGAAAAAAACAAAAAAGGCCTCGGTCATGAAGGGGTTAAAGAACCTTAGGCATACTTGGTGCGCCCTGGTTCTGCTTCCCTGTAATGGCTCCAGAGTTATTTGCAATTGCCGGGATTGGCTTCCATTTTTAAAGCCAAGTCCCAGTCTATGTTGCAAGAACACTGACAGCAGCTCAAAGCCTGTACATACTGTTTGCTGTTCTTTTATGCACAGACCAAAAACATTTGTTTGATATCCACAAATGTCAGTTAAAGCAACCTTGCAAGTGAAAAATAAGTATTTACTTAATACAAACTTGTACCTATTTAACCCTTTCTTGACCCTTATCAGTCCTAATTAACGCCTTCCTTCCCTTCTATCCTTTGCTATTATTTTTCTACTCTTTTTGTTTTTCCACTTTTATTTTTATTGAATCTTTTAGTGCCATTCCTTCAAGTGACATTTAACAGAATTCCCCTTTAATCCTACCCCAGCAGTTAAAGGTTATGTAGTAAGGGAAGGGGAGGAGGAGCTGGGCAAGCACAAAAAGTAATTAGACACTTGCAGAAAAGGAAAACGCTAGATGTAACTTATCCTGGAGTGGTAGAATGCTCCAGTAAGTTCAAAGGCACTTGCAAGTGAATAGAAAGTTGTTTATGGAATTTGTTAAAACATTTTTTATGATATGCTTGGTTAATGTGGCCAGGGCCTGCATCCTACTATACTGGAAAGGTGTTGACCCTCCCCTGCTTAACCTATGGCTCCTGAAAGTAGAAGATACCCATATTATGGAGTAACTGACTGCTGCCTTACACCACAGGAAAGAGAAAATCTAAAAGACATAGTTCTATTGGTTTAATTTTACCTGCTTCCGGGAAATTAAAACCCTCTTGAACTCGTGGGGGACCTCTGATCTAAAGGCTGTGTCTGCATCAGATTGGAATCGGTGCTCCACTGCTGTTTCCCATAGCCTCCCCTTCCTCCCTCTCCCCTTCCTCCCTCTCCCCTACCCCCCCCCCCCCCCATTTTTT